CTTTGTTGCGGGATATCTGGCGTAAGCAGAGCTGCGCAGGTTTGGAGAATAGGGCCTCGTTTATGTGTGTGTGTGTGTGTGTATGGGTGTGTACGTATATATATATATATATATATATATATATATATATATATATATATACATATGTGCATTGATTGTGTAGTGAGTTTTATCCGTTTTATGTGTTTTGTGTGGACCCCAGGAAGAGTAGCGGATGCATCTTTTTGCATCAGCTAATGGGGATCCTAATATTTTTGAATGACCACCCTGTTTTGGCCATTTGTGTGATTTTTACGCAACCACAGTGCAAAATCAGCTGAGCTTCAGTCATGTCTTACCTAAGCAAGATAAAAGCGGAAGAGTAAGTACATGGCATTGTTTCAGATCTAGCTCAAGAAGTGCGCCTACCCTCACATGTTTCCGAAAATGATGCTATTTATATACCCAAACAAATGGAACAAAGACTTAATGTAAGCAATACTCAACAATGGCATTTGCTTGCTAAGGGGCGTGCTTGAGTTCAGAATATAATCAAATTTTGGACGGCCAAAGTCATGTACGGCAGGATTTGCTTTGCAGCCAAAAATAACCTATGCTGGCAATTTCCAAGAAAGCAGCAGAAAAAGGGGTAGAAAATTGCTTCCAGGGCTGCAGACCAGACAAGATTATACCCCAAGTCTTTGTAAAGGGAAGCGTGAATAGGCCCCTAACACACACACGGGGAGGGGACGAGAGCAAACATTGGCTTCGGGTCTAAAGGTAGGGGGTGAGGATTTCGAGGAGAGTGAGCAAAGCTCCATTTAAATGTTTGTGGCCCTGTGCTCTGGGATTTGAGAAAAGTGAATATTCCACTCATCAATAATGTAGGTGAGAGGAGGGGGCAGGGAGGCCAGCGGATGCTCAATAGGTTAATACACTGGCCTTTCACCCTTTGATTCCAGTTTGGGAAGTGTCAGCACAAGAATATATTTTATCTCCTTGCCAGACCCCATCGGACTGCAACATCTGTCAAAAAGTAGGTTATTAGCAAGGGCGAAATATCTGAAATCAAAATCTGGGCTCTTTCCAGATGGAAGCTCATCATTAGACGGTTTGTGAAATTCAATTTGAAAATGTAAAATAAAACAAAGTAGTTTAAAACTAGTGCATAAAACAGATGTAGAAATGTACAACACAGTGTCCTTTCCAGGGAGAAAAAATAAGTACTTGAACAGGGAATAAATAATAAAATAGTATAACTGCCCTCTGTAGACAATAATACTTTTAATAAATATTTGAAAAAAAAAAAAAAAAGGCAAATTGTTGGAGGTCCCATAAAAGCTTTCTTTCACTTATGGGACATCAAAGGGAAAGAAATACAAATAGAAAACAAGCAAGCAAACACTAAAACATGAATATTTTACACATGCACCTACAAGACAGAAGACTCAAAGGAGACGCTCTTCCATCTCAGAGAGAGTGAAATGGCTCTTTGTGTGAGAAAAAGGAATGCAGGTCATTCCATTGTGTTCTACGGACACACTTTGTATTAAAAGATGAATTGATCCATCTGTAAGCAGCACTTAGCCTCACTCTTCAGCTCAGTCGTTACACCGGGATAAATCAATATTTAATATCCCCAACCAACAGCCCCAGTAGATGATTTTAACCTCTCCTTAATCCCATTTATGTTACCTTTCCAGAATCTTCCACGTAAGCTTTCACTATGATAAACTTCCAAACAGCAGACTGTAAGGCAGTTATTAAAGGGCGTTCAGTATTTATGTCAGGTGAGGCGATGTGCTGAAATATTAATATTCTGAAACTGACCAAAGTGAAAGCTTTTATCTGGAACACTTAGAGGCCTTTTTTTTCGTCTGTTAGGCGCGAGCAGCAGGCACAGGCCAACTGTCTGACTGCTGGCAGCGCTGGGTGATATACAGCGGGCGGTTCATTACCGTTTTGTACATGGCTGTAGTAGCTCTTCCCATGACATGTAAAGTGTCCCCTCAGAAACATATGGCTAGAGGGCATTACGTAGCCTTAACTTTGCAACCGGCTTTTAGGTATCAGTGAAGCGTTCTAAGGTGATAGGAAACAATTAGTCCTGCCAATTTATTGACTAATGATAAAAAATAAAATAATAATAATAATAAATAATAATGATCTATGCATTAACTGTGCAAATTGAGCAATGAGCCAAGATGAAAACAAAAAGAGCCGAGAGGAAACCTAGACATTTTTCAAAGATAAAATACTTAAATGTAATACTTAAATATATGCAGCGTCTTTAAAGAAAAAAAATAAAATAAATGAAAAAAAAAGATCCAAAGATGTCAGTCTGCACCTGTACACAGAACAAAATTTTAAATAAATTAAATATAACGTAATTGAAACATTGCAGACAAATGTAAAAGCATGTCCTACAGCAATGTGAATAGCTCCCGAGTCTCAACTAAAAGATTTAAATCAATAAAGAACAATCAAAGCAAATATTTTTTTGAATGACCAAAATATGATGTATTAAAATTATCTTTATTTTAGTGCTTTCTCAGCAAATATAATTCTGATTAATCTGATTTAATTAATCAGAAATTGTTTGATTTTCGATCAGCCCTAGTACCAATGTTGAAAAATGAGGGATATTCTTCATATTATGCTTTGAGTAATGAATGTCTTCATTAGAATTAGCTCAGTTCTATTCGTTTGAACTTCAGAGACATCTGGAACATATGAGGAGGAAAATACAGCTTCTGTTTGGCCTCTGGTTGTTTGTGACATCAATACGTCTGTTTGGCTTAGCAACAGGCTGAGGTGGATCGGCCTTTATGATATCATCAGATGCAGACAGTCTTCTGAGCGAGGCTACAGTACAAAAGAGGCCTGCCATTTTCTTCCATCACATTTTAAGGTCATAAACTTGCATTCTCAGATATGGGAGCAACTGAAAACTCAAATGGAAAGTAAGAAATAAAGAACGAGAAAGTCGAGGGAGTCTTTGTGATGTGCTCTGTAACCTATAGCAACAATGATAACCCAAGCATACCGGTCATATTTTCCCACTGATATAGAGCACCTAATTATTATTTGTCGTTACCTCCTTTGCCCCTTTCTTTGCGCCGCTGGCTGCCTAGAATTACCTTGCCCTTACATCAAAGTCCTTTAGGGAAAACACATTTAGCCACAAGCTTAATGTCTTTTTGCTCTGGGGGAGGTGGAGAGAGAGGCCACCTCCAAACTGATTTCCTCCCCACTTGGAAAAACACATAAAGCTCACCTGAGCCGAGATGTCCACATAACCATCTTAAAAGGCACGGCCTTACAATCGTGTGAAGACAAAACCCAAGCCAGACAAAAGAATTGGAGAAAAAAAGAGTTAAGCTTGGCCTGCTAAGAACAATGCAGCCGTAGGTGTGTGCTGCCTGTTGACAAACGGGCCTTTTCAGCCATTGCTGGAGCAACATTCATGTCATGTAGCAGCATATTCTCGTGTCTGGCTGACCATGAGCTAACCCCAGAGCAATTGTGGGAGGTAAAGAGGGAAGGAGAGGATGAGTTGAGGCTGGTGAGGGTAGAATAAGGAAAAAGGTGGGGAGGGAGACAGCCACAGGTGATGGCTGCATGTTCACATACCGCATCCACCTCTAAAGAACACGAACAAAGAGTGTGAAATCTCAAAAGAATGGCGCGTAATGCACTGGCTTAGGTGATATCTCCGTTTATAATGGCTTAGAGTTGGGCATTGTGTTTGAGAAAGCAGGATTATGACTTCCACAATACCGCATGGAGCAGTAAAGAGGTATTGTAAATTGCTGAGAGAAGCAGCAATGATATAAAAATGCCAAAACGCAGCCTTTCTCGAGGATGCACTCTCTGAATTTCCTTCAATGCCACCCACATCGGGGCAAGTCTTTCGCCCTGACTTCTAAGTTGATTGAAAAAATAGTCCCTCTACTTTTTTACATATACATTGACCTACTTTAAGATGCTGGTTTAAAGTAATCAGGTGATGAAAAATTAATGAGCATCCACTCCCGGTTCCTGCCTGCGTCTCACAGCCAACTGGCAATATGGCATCAATCAGATGGTAGTGGTGTCTGTTTTTCTGCTCCTTGATTGACTCATTGATTGAAGATATTTTTAAAAGGAATCCCTGAGAGAATGCCTACTCCCGGTACAAAGTGGGCCTGTCCCACACCAGGGGCTGAAGAGGGCTGCCTCTATGCTTTAATTGGGCAGAGACATCACAGTTTGAACCCGCACAGGCCAGGCACCAGAGGACCACGATGGTCCTCCTTGCTCACAAATGCAAACACATCCACTATCTACCCTGCCAATGTCAATCAAAGGCACTCCTCTGGACGTGCTTCAAAGAGCTTGATTGGTTTTAAAGATCATGTCTGAAAAAACACTGTGGGCTCAAGTCCTTGAGTTTTGGCTGTTGTTGTACCCTCAGGCGAAAAAAGCAAGGAACAAGAGTCAGTTGTGTTGGGTATATACTTCTGCAATGGAATCTGGTATTGATTACAAATTGCATGAATAAAAGGAGGTTTTGAAGTAATCTCTTACATTACTGATTTTGTATGATTTTGACACGAAAAAAAAATCTTAAACTATACTTTATCAACACAAATAGGCGCACATACAATGCTTTGAAAGAAAATTTACTAATTGCCAAGTTGAATTGTCTAACTTGCAAATTATTATTATTATTTTGTTACAGTGGATATAAAATACATGGATTGTACTTTTTTGGTGATATTTTGTGCCTCCCTGAAAGATTTATTTTTCTTTTAAATATTTTTTCTTATTTTCATACATAAATATCTATGAGACTCTATGTTGGTAATAGAGTAGGTTATGAAACTATTAAATATACTCTTTTTTTGTAAAAATTTTTTGTACAAATAATAAAATAATTTGTTATACTCCAATCTAACCGTTAATATTCACAATCTGATTCCAGAATCCAAAATCCCTGCAGCAACCCAACACAGCTTTCAGGTGTCAAAGACGCTCACCTTATCAGCCCTGCAGTTGTTCAGGCCCATGCTGGCGAGGGCAGACAGCTTGGCCTCCATTCCCTGCTGATGATGCTGAAGCTGCTCTCTCTGAATCTGCTCCCTCATCTTCCTCGCTTCCTGAATGGCCTTCATCACTGCATCCTGATCTCCAAACAGCGCTGTTGAGTTCAGGCTGGACAGAATGTCTGCGGGGACAAAAAACTTGGGTTCACATACAAATGCACATATTATTTCTTAGGGCAGTGTTGTGAAAAACAATATACTGTAGGAGGTCTTGTGTGAACAGTCTGCATGTGTGCACTGTAAGTGTGGCGGACTCCGTGTGTGGGGGGAGCAGGAAACTAAGGGAGCAATCTCAGTGTGTGTCGCCTTTCTGTAATTAGTGGATCAAAGTGAGGTGAGGCGGGATGGCAGTTAAATCTCGGAAATAGTAGAAAAACAAACACCAAGCCTGTGTTCAAAGCCCAACTCCACGAGGAGGGGGGAAATGAGCAACACAGTGTCGTTTTAATGAAAGACTGTTTTTAGTAAATGTTAGTAGCAGCTTCCTAAAAAAAAAAAAACTTAATATGAGAGATGAACTAGCAGCTTTGAAAACAAATATACAGCAACGGCATCCGTTACTATTTACTGCGTCAAAATGGCAGGGTCTAAAACAGATTATGATTTGGGAGTTTGTCAAGTTCACTCTCTGATTCCACACTACAAAGAATCAAAATATACAATTAGTCTCTCAGCTGTGAGGATGTTAATAATTATAAAATATTTCACTACAAAAAAGATTTACCTAGAGAAGAGCCACGACCCATTCCTCCGATGGGACTGGGGATGCCTCCGCTCTTGGACAGGCTGTTCGGGCTGCTCTTGCTGCCTGGAAAGAGGATCTGTGTCGGGGATGTGGGGGATTTGACGGAATCAGCTGTCTTGGGCCGGGCAGAGAGGTTGAGAGGCTGTGTTCCCTCCTCCTACATAAAAGACACAAAGCTTTTGTTAAAACAGGGACGTCCTAATAGAGAAATGCTTTCCACCTTACATAAAAGACAATGCACCAGAGGCTATTACTGTAGACTAATTAGTACGGCTCCTCCAAGACATGGGTTCTGTATTCATAGCCAGGCTCTGTGCCATGCTGTAGCTTCTTGGTGCAGTGAGGGCCAGGCTTTGTTCAGGCTAATTAAAACCCTCTCTGTCTGAGCACACATCTTTATGTTCTCACCTGCTCTCAGGCCAGAGAAAAACAGTTAACAGCTAATACATCCTGTTTCAAACAAATGCAATCAGGCTAGAGAGCTTGTTACTGTTGTGGCTGAATGTATTACAATTAAGTGTGTGTGTGTGTCTGTTTTCTTTGTGGTGACCAAATGTGATCCCTATGAGGAGAACAAATCTAATTTGTGTTATGGTTTCCACAAAAATATTAAGCAGCACAACAGTTTCTATGCTGAAAATATTATCAATAATAATAATAATATGTTTATTTGGCACCAAATCAACTTATTAGCATGATTGAATAACAGTGACACTGAAGAGTGGGGTAATGATGCTCAGATTTGCCATCAAAGTATTGCATTTTAAAACATAACAAAATAAAAACTTGATTTTAATTGTAATAATATTTCATAAAATTTGCTGTTCTAATTTTTTTTTTTATCAAATGAATGCAGCATTGAGAAGCATTTAAGGTTCTTCTAAAAACGTAAAAATAAATCTTACTGACCCCCCGAACCTTTGAATGGTAGTGTATATGCTGGTTGACGAGTAAAACAATGCATAATGTGTCAAAATCACATCATCAATCCAGAACAACTTTAAAAGCACATCTAATCATATTAATGCATCTTGTGAAGGCTAGAAAAAAATTTAACTGGCAGTGTTATACTGTCCAAACAGATGGGCCACATACAGAGACTGCCCCCAGCTCTTTACAAATCTGACTGCCAATAACAGTTTGTCGTTCAATTACGCTTCAACTAGACAAACAAACAGATTGCTAGCTAATTAAGCACAGCGTATCTACATACGGAGTTAACGGGGCAAAAATCGCGTAACATCTTTGATCAATATTAAGATAACGCATCTCAAACAACACGTGTTGGCTAAATGAACAGAAGCAGAACGTCTAAAAATGCCAATCCGACTCTGAATTCTGGCTCAGTGTAATTGCCAATGATCTTACCGTATGCTCTGAGATGTTGATATATGGCGGCGCTCTCCAAGGGCAGCGCTCCAAAAGCCCCGGAGGAGCAGCTTAGCTGAGCAACTGACGAGGATTACGGGCGCTACACACACACTACTGTTCAGCTCAATGATTTACCCCCATTCTATTGTGATATTAAACTAAACTTTTCCAAATGTGCAAGTGTTTTAGGTTTCAGCCGCAGCACAAAAAAGCAAAATGATGATATATATCAGTGAAGACTGATGGAAAAGCACTATATGCTATGAGGACTAGACTGTCGATCTTATAAAAGAAACAAAAGACAGTCCTCGCATCGTTGTAGCCTCATCAATATATTTAGATTATGTGCCTCTGATGTCATTGCCTCAGTTCTGTCCAAGTTAAATGTAACACGCAGGAAAACGTGGGCCAGTCTCTGTCACGAAAAACCACGTGTTCCAAAAATTGCTCTCCAGGAGCGAGGAAAGCCATAGCAACCCTGTCCACAGAGTTCTGCTTGAGAGAGCGGGTGCCTTGTAAAAGCAGCCCAGATTGATGGGCTCAGAGCAAGAGGAGAACCAGTGGCAAGCTCTCACTCACTTGTTCGCTGCTGTACCTACCACAGCTGATTTAGTGAACAAGGAAGCGGAGAGGACTAGGTCAAGCACCACTCCACTCGCACATCAGAACGGGCTGGGACCGTACCTTGACTTGAGCCAGGGGGGTTGAGGACCTCTTCTCGTTCTTCAAGGCAGACGGGGAGATTTGCCCGGCAGAATTGGGGGGCTGGGGCAGCGGAGGCATCTTGGCTCCTGGAGAGACCTGCATGCTGGCCAGCTGGGCGGCGTAGAGTTGCTGTAAGGAGGGAGACAACCCACAAGCGTTAACATCCAATGCCAGACAGCATTCAAAGCCTTTATTCTCTCTTTTCTTCTCTCCCTTGCATTTCTTTTCCCCTTTCCATCCCAGCATAGAAGCTCCATCAAAGGTCTAACTGTATATCAAAGCCTGAATCCAGGGAGAGACAGCAGCCCCAAAAAACCACACAGCAATGGCTCGCATACAAGAGACTTGGAGCCACTCGTCTTTCCACTCATCACACCAAATTTGCAGACTGAAGCTTAGCTGCTTCTAAGATCTGATTTCCTTCCCCTCGCTCCCTCTAGTAAGCCTCTTTGACTTTAATTGGCGCCTTTTCGAGTTGCGACTGAGACACCTGAACATCCCCCTATGATGGCGCAGAGCACGTTCCCCTGAAGTTACACAATTTCAAGTTAGTCGAGTTTCCAATATGTGCTATATGAAAAAACATTCATTAAAACAGGAAGCCTGACAAAGTGAATTCTGCTTATTTTCACTGGCTCATGGTCAACACGCTCGCTAACATCAGCAACCTTCCAGCGGTACTCGTTCAACATGAAGTGCAGCTTGTCAATCACTTATCAGCACTGAGTGGAGAAAGTGTGCGAGAGGTTTGGATTTCAGCTTTGAGATTGACTGTCTGTCATAACCTATTGAGAAGGATTTTTACATCAAAACACATCGTTAATACCCACAGACCAGGCAGAAAAAAATAATAACAGCACCATTAAAAAAACAAATTAATGTTAGATCAAAAGGATCAATTAAAGACAAAATCCTGGGTTAGAATGTCAAATCGTACAACATTATCGATTTTGGTTTTAGCAGGGTGTATAATTTACAGACGCTTAAAACAATCATACTTCTGTTGCTTTCCCTCAGGCAAATATTGATTAGCAAGCAGGTAAATGCTTATATTGTCTTTTGACTCTTACATTAAGTACGATGAATCACACTTGGGTCAAAAACAATAAACAGGGCATGGGACATGATATCAGATGAAAACAGCTGTAAAAATATTGAATATGAAAGGATAATTTCCACATTGGTGGACAATAAAGTTATACTGTAATACTTGCTACTGACACAAGATACGTTTCTCGTGAGCATGTGAAAGTCTGTATATTTTTAGTTTTGCAAAGGTGCTCCATGTAACGATCAAGGATTTTTTTAACAAGTGTTCGAACCCTATTTTGAATTACAGTATGCATTGGATTGCATTGTGTTTTAGGGTTGAATGTAATATCAGTAAACCTAAAAAGGTACAAGTAATTTTCTGCCCCTAATCTTTCTTTACAGAGTACATTTTTTAAATAATTTAATTAATTTAATCATATTTGACAAAAACAAACACAAAAAAAATTACTTTTAAGTCTAAAATATCACCACTTAATCAATAGTTCTCACTCTAGATGAAACTAAGTGATACTATATTTTCCTCACTTTATGATTTCACAAGCCCAAATCTACAATGCCAACATTTAAGCCATTTTTTTCAGTCTCCCCTAAAAATAGTGGCCCAGTTATATTATCCATTTGTTTTTACAGCCACAGTCTTTGTATTTTCAACCCCCCCAAAAAAACACACTTTTTTTTTTCATGCGCATGTACCCGAGTTCTCTCTGCTCTCATTTCCTTTCCCTTTCCTTACTAGGCTACATAAGGACTCCATTTGTCTGAAATGGAAAAAGTGGCACCAGCATTAGTGGCCTGCCCCACCTCAGCCACTCATACAGAAAAACCTGAGGCCAGACAAAGTGCTTTGTGTCTACATGTATCAGGAGATATAAACACTAAAATACTCTCCGGTCCCAAAGTTAAACGCCTGCACATTAGTGCCGCACAAAAGGGTCATTCTTCTGCGGTAGACCTGGGGCAAGCGCCGGCACACGGACAGCGGAAATGGCAGGCTGATTAGGTTCACACAGTGATAGCGCAGCTCGCCAGCCCAGTAAACAAAAAGCCTTTGTCCCGCAAAGTTAAAAACACAATCGCTATTTTTTTGTATGTCTATAGGTAATAAGTGACCGAGATTGTGAGTGTATTTGACTGAGTTTGTGAGCTTGTGAACAAGCCCTCGGCCCAGTCTGCTGGACAGATGTTGGTTAACAGCGAGCCACTGCTGATGTGGATGGGCAGAGGGACTCTGACCTTTCCGTGGGAAGAACTTTATTGTTCCGGAAAAAGAGCGTAATTGGCTTTTGCTTCAAATTAGAGCCAGTCAGACTGCCTTTTGTGAGGCCTGATTAACAGGCCAAAGCCACAGGGTTAGGAGTAAAGCGGTCTGGATGCTCTCAGCCAAAAAGACGATGCAATATAACAGTAAATACTAACAGAAAGGTGTGACGTGTAGCTCACTTCTTATCGTCAAGGGCAGGAAGGGGAAAGACGCTCAACTCTCTCATATGTGTCCATCACACCAAGCTGTGCACACGGCGCTTGCGTATTAAGGCCATGTGTTTTGATGCTGAAAGGTGTGAAAATAGACAAAAGGAGAGACACAGAGAGAAAGAGAGACTGCTGATGTGGTGTGAGGACACATGTGGTAGTCTGTCTGAAGGGCATGTAATGCAGGGCTCCATTGGGCCTCCTCCAGCCATACTGCAGGGTCTCCACAGCAGACAGGGCCAGCGCTAATGAGGGTTATGCTGAAAGTCAATGGCCGAACAGGGAACAGGGCAGCCGGGACAAGCTGGCTTCATGCCCCCTGCCCCACAAAACTAAAATCCTGAGCATGGCTGATCCCATCAATCTATCAATCCCTTCATCAGTCTGAGTTAACACTGTCTATTAATGCTAAACATATAGCTACAAAAATAAAGATTACACTATTTCTGTCTCACAAATGAGGAGTGAAAGATCACATATTGATATATAGGCTGATCTTCGAAATTTCTACTGGAACATTTAAAGTAATGTTTTTGTGAAGCATTTAATGTTCTGTTGTACAATACAATGTAAATGAATATAATGTAATATTTGTTTTATATAATCTATCGTAAAACATTTATTTGACACTTCTCAAACTTCCCTCAATTTGGTTATTGGCTTTGATTCTTTAAAAGAGGAACAAAAGATGAGCACTGCATCAGCTGCTACCTCAACACACACATACACACACAAAACACACGTGTGTGCGCTAACATCAACAGACATACAAAGTGGTGTATAAGCAGCAATCTGACACAGTGGAGAGCTATTACAGTGTGTACTGAAGCTGCTGGCTCTGAGGAAATGGGAGCCATTGGGGATAGAACACTAGTGGGGCCGGAGAGAGGCCTAAAGAGAGCTAAAGAAAAAGAGAGGCAGAGATGTTGAGCTGCTCTCAGCATGTGGTTTCAGAAAGGCCTGCAGAGAAAAGGCCTGATCCACCCCAGTGACTCAGGTAATACCTTTGTCCACTTGAGCATTAAATGACTCGCTGCTATACAGCTTAGTTAGAGAGAGAGGGGCTCGGGAAATGGGGCTTTTCAATTCGCTCGCCCGCAGTCTTCATACTTCAAGCGACACACACAAGCAGACCGACTAATATCTCCTGCCTCCCTCTCTCGCACATATGAGCCAAGCCCATATCACAGTCCGTGGACTCCAAATGAGTGGAGTCCGGCCCAAGGTCAGGCAGTTAGCCTCTGATAATTAAAAACAACCCCTCTGGAGAGAAAAGAGGTTAAATGAGAGAATTTCTGCCTGCAACAACAGTTTTTGCAGATAATCCAGATTACCCGACACTTTCAGACCACACCGCTGCTGGACGCATCAGCACTCAGGGATACTTTGCTTTCAAGTGTCTCGGAGAGCTAATTCAGTGCTCCACTTCTGTGTGGAGGTATGTAAACGCTCAAGATAAACTGTTTATAAATGGAAAAGGCACGGTTAAGAAAGTTTACGCTTTTTTGTCAAATGGCATTCAAAGACAGAGCTGTGGTGCAGTGAGCTGTGCGCACATATACTGCAAATTTTCGAGTCTGATTCTGGGTCGTAATGCAATCCCATTCTCCCTCTCTCACCCAAATGTTCTTGTCTAAACTCCATTACACTATAAATAAAGTAAAAAAAAAAAAAAATGCTCAAAGCTCATTGTAAACACACACTTGGTCTTATCCCAAATAATTAATGATAAAAAAATGATGCGCACTACCGTTTAAAAGTTTGAAGTTGATAATGTTTTTGAAAGAAGTGATCCAAGAACTGCTAAAACATTGATTTAATATTAATATTTTTAACAACTGTTATCTATTTTAATACATTTAAAATTGTATTTATTCCAGTGATAGCACAGTTGAATTTTCAGCATCCATCACTCCAGTCTTCAATGTCTGAATAGAATAGCAATATTTTGTAATATTTGCATTGCAAATATTGTGGATTAAATCCTTGATGCACAATTGGATGCATGATTGTGAAAAAAAATATATTCATTTCTTAAAAAAAATAAAATAAATAGACTTTCTGACCCCAAAACTTTTGAACAGTAATGTACTTTACCTTTATTGTGTTCACAGTGTGCATATTTTCTGAATTTCTGTGCTTGCGCTATACCAGAATGAGACCGCAGACCGAAATGGCTCATGAAACACTAGATTTCAGCACATATGATGGGCAAATAGGCCATCATGCAAGGAAAAAAACAACAACTTGAGTCTCTTGTTTGCTCTTAAAGAGAGGGGCTGACTGCACTCTGGCAGATGCTGTGAAATACAGTGGCAGATTTCGCCAATTTTAGTGCTTCTAGCTATAATGGTGCATGACTGTCTCTCCAACTTATCCACATAGGCCCCAGTCTGAGCTCACTGAAACGTATCCACGAGGCCAAAAAACCCCACTGATACATTATCATACGTCAAAACATACGCACACTATACACACTAAATTACATACACTAAGGCTCTTGTGTTTGTGTGTTCTCCTCGGCTCTCTCTATGGCCACAGCTGAGCAGAAGCATGGAGAGAGGACTGTTACTCCCGCATGGTCGACTCTGCCATTTCAGTAGCATTGGGGTGCCCGCGCCCGTTTGCCACAAGGCTTGTCCAGGCTCATTGCCCAAGGCAGGCGGGCTGACCCAGGCTGGCCCAGATGTCAGAAAGGGAAGCAGGGGTGCGCTAGTGTGCTGCGCCAATGCTTTCCAGTATGGCCAGACATCTGTCCCATCTGCTGGCGCCCAGCCTGCTCCCTCCCCCCATCTCAACCCATCCGCTTCGTTTTTTTTCTTCCATCTTTACCCTTACATAGCTTCACTAACTTGAAATGTATGATGTGTCCTATAAATAAGGCCAATGCTAATAACCCTGCGCTGGTATCAACCCAGGTGGTCATCTTAAGCTACATGTTTTGCATCTCTGAATATCTGTTTACTTGCCTCTCTGTTTTACAATTCTGTCCATCCAGATGTCCACCTATCCCTCCCATTAGAGCCTCTGCTCTGTGCTCATACTGCCTCTCGTCTTCTGGCTATCTCTCCGGAGTCTGTCTCGCACAGCACGCGCCACTCCTTTCCCCTCTCCTTCTTTCTCTCCTCTCCTCCTCAATCACACCAGCAGCTGTTCGCTCTCATTTCTGCAGCTCATAGTCAAAGTGCTCCACTTGTTAGCCGTGGCAGAAAGCCCTGTTCCCTCCACACATCCGGAATGCAGAGACATGAGCATCCAAACAAAAGATAACACAGTATTTCCTCTCTTCCCTCATTTTCTCAACCCCAGCAGAAGTTTCAGAGAAGTTTTCCCGACTCTCAAGTACAGTCTTCAAACGATTTCAGCAGTAATAAAGCACCTTTAGCTTAAGAAATGTTGCAAAGATTTAACCCTCGGCCTCGTGTTCTGATTGGGGTCTCAAAGACTTTCAGAGACCCCAGAATATATCTCATATTTTTTAAATATGCTCCTTAAATTCAACAGTAAATTAATTTCATGAAGAAAGAAACGGATTAGGAAATAATGAAAGGAGGGAGAAAATAAAAGAGAGAGGCCAGCCTGTCCTATTTGTGTTTGCTCCCTCTATTATATGCCACGGGGAAACCCAGATGTTCTGCTTTTATCCCATGATGTTTTTATTTTAGGACTGCTTAAACCCAAAAGACTGCTTCCAATGATAAAAAACAGGCCTCTCACAAGTTGACTTGACATCTGTATAGAACTTGTGGCAAAACAATATATCAAGGAGAGAATGGCTTTAAGGAAATTGTTTTCCTCTAAGCAATTGATGTAAGGTGATCTTGAATGCTACCAAATTAAATGGCAATTCAAACAGACAAAAAATAAAATCGAATTCTTTTGTAGAATTAGGATAATTCCTTTTAGACTGTCTGGTCATACGGCTACAATCCGAAAACAATTTCCGCCTGGAGGTGAGAGGTGTCACTTCTAATAGGGAGGCAACGCCGGGGGATGGAGCCATTGTTTGGAGGCCGTGCCCAGCTCATCCTGAACCCTGAGAGGGTCTTAATGAAGAGAGGCATGCGGTCTTGGGAATAGTTTGAGCGGCTTTTCTCTGGTGACTTGCAGACAAGGGCCAATCTGTCAGGAATGCATTGAACGAAATTACTCGCCGCGTTGGGACACGGGGTGACAAGCGGGCGCATGTACGCGTGTGCCGCCAGTCGAGGGAAATGTATTGACAAGCAAATTACGCTCTCAGATCGCCTGGCCGCTTTCATTTCCACTCCCCGGGACCTGAGGCCTTTTGTTAGCCCGAGGACGGGCCAGGGTGACGGGGAAGAGACGAGACAGAAAGAGAGATTCCACAGGCAGCCCACTTACTGTTATGACACGGTAAAATTGCGAGTGGTAGCATCGACAACATTAAGACTGGCAGAGCGGCCGTCCCTCTTCCTGCATGACCGAGCACAGCATTGTGGGAATTAATTCCTTTCCAATCAGAGCATTTTTTAAGGTTCATATATTTCCCCAGTCTAAACCGAGCAAATTAGGGAAAATGATACCTTGCCAGAATTGCTGACAAGTGAAGATATTCTAATTAGACAGATGCACCCAGCCAGTGGCACAGGGTGGGTGGGTCCACTGGCACAGGAAGTGGGGATCTCATAGGTGAGGTCACTCCCACCGAGCGGATCAGCGATGCATAAGCGGCAAGAGCTCAGTGATACTGCCATTACAGATAATCACCCAGACACAGCAGACAAATCCATACATACCTCTCATTAACACTGACCTAGCGCTGGCCCTCATTTATCTGACATATTTTAAAAGATTTGCTTCCTTTGATTTAAGACAGGAATTCAAAGCTTGTTATTTCTGCTCAAAGAAGGAAGAGAGACAAAAGCAGCCACAACCTCATGCTAGCACGTGCTAACTGCCGAACAAATCAATCCAAATCGCCCTTCCCCACTAAATTACAACCTCTTCTGCATCTGTCCGTCGTCATTTTCTTTCAAAATAATGTTTTGCCTGTCCTTTTGTCCTCCTAGTGAACTTGCACGCAACTTCTCAGTCTTAGCCAGATGGGTGCAACGCGAGCACTAATGGCATTATTGTTGCACTCGGAACGAGATTCATCTCCCCGATCTCTGTCCTGATCGTTTTTAATCATCTTTCGCATGATGATAGCTGCTCAGTTGCGGCGGAAAGGGTATGTTTGACTAGCAGGGCTTTCTTAGACTGAAGGGTACCGAAAGTAAATACCAATCTGCTTGGCTAAATCTGTGGCTGAAAGACAAACTTCAATTAATGGGAATGCAACTCATTTGTGTTTACTGTATTTTCTAAAGGTCAGTCAAGTCGTGGACTCCGAGACTCGCTCTCAGCCCATTCCCAGGGTTAAATGTATTATCACAATGAATGGCTAAGGGGTCTCGGTGTCTCCTGATATACGACTATCCCAGACTCGAGCTGGCCCATCAGGAACGCTATAAATAGACAGGACGGGCCCTGGTTCAGCCACCGCCGCCTACTCCTAAGGGAGGAGGGAAGACGCGCTTACACGTACGGCTCGAAATGATTTTTAATCAGTTTTTGCTCACAAGCTCCTTCCCCTTTAAGCTCGCTCATACAAGTGCACGCACATTTTTACATACACTTTAACATGAATAGACACATTCCACACCTTCAACGCAGATGATTGTTCTCCCCAAAGTCGCATGCTATAGCAAAGGCTTTTCTAGCTCCAGCTGCAAGCATTGTTCCGACTTGCCAAGGCTCATTAATGCTGAGAGCGATAAGCTCCGAAGGACAAATTGTGCACATGTATCAGCAAGAAGAAAAAGTCCAAAACGCTCCCCTATCCTCTCTCCCTTGCACGCCGTCCTCCCTCCGCTCTCGGCTTTGTTTTGTAACATCCCCAGCTATCAGAGAGCCTAATGTCTAATTGCTATCAACCACTTACCATTGTTGTTGACAAAACAACAACTGTCTATGAATAAAAAAGTGAGGGAATTTTTTTTTAAATGAATCCACTACAGGGCTGCGAGCTGTATTGCCTTTAACTCTCGTTCTTGTTCAGTCTTTGTTTGAAGAATTTCAAGGAACATTTATGAAGTTTCAAAGCACACATTTCACAAATAATCTAAACAGGAAAGACTAATGACATTAGTTGCGGTAATAAAACCCTTTCTCTTACCATCAGCTCAAAACAACCCTGTTCTATGTGTGTGACAACGTAAACAAAGCAACAATCAGGATTAAAAGAAACGATTAAAATGACAAACATGACGAGATAAACTTGTATAAAGATATTAATCTATATTAAAGTACATGAAGACTGCATTTGAGGGTCTTGGAAGCTCTTCCATCATTATGATACCACAAAGTTACTCTGAACAGTGTCAACAGATAAAGCAATTCAGGTATGAGGGGCCCCTGAAATACTCTTCATTGATGCAACACCCGGTTCCCATGCAAGGCTGCGCTGTAAAAACGGGCTATATTGCAGATGGAAGGTGTTAAGCTTGCAGGGGTGGACTGGTGTGTGAGTGATTTAGCTCTAACTTGTTATTTAGCATACAGCTGGTTTGCTCACACGGTGCTGAGGGCTTGGCCCACTGCCCGTAAATTCTTTTGTGACTGTACATACCTGAAGCTGCAGAGGGTTGAGTCCTGACGCGGCAGCAGCTGCCATTGTGGATGGAATGAACTGCACCGGGTAGTTATCACCTGTCGGAGAAAGGAGGAGGGGGAGATAGTGAACAATGCGCACAGGTTGAGACAATGAACGGCCCAACGGCAGGCCAGACAAGTGCCAACACAGTTCCTGTGGGCCTGCCTGCACCCAGCCTCGGCACTCAGCCCAAACATCTGCACTCACAAAAGAGTTAGCTGGCCAGAGCAGAGTGGGATTTACACTGGAACGTCTCTCTTTCTATCACACTCTGGGTTTTTGCCTTTTCCCTTTTTTATCTTTGCCCACACTTGCAGAGTCCGTTCTCATCTAGGTGTGCAATGTGCGCAAGGTTATGCCATTTACTTTATTTTCCGCAATATCATGTTCTGTGAGAAGCTTGACTAGTCAAACTATTGTTCTACATGCCATTATGTGTTTTACAATATGATCTGGCACAATAATATATGAATGTGTGAGAGAGAGGGTGTTGACGCCAACTTCAACAGGTTTTAACAAGACAAAATTGTATGCAAATACAGCTTGTAGGACATTTTCATCGTGAGATCAAATGTATCCAATAGAATTAAGCAATACAATAGGGTGAACAGAAAACACAAAAGGAATCAGATAAAAAAAAATAATAAAAAAACAAACAGGCTCAAACACAAAACCCCTGGAGATACAGCTCTGGTAAACTTATCCAGAAATGAGTGCATCTGAAAGTGTGTTAAGTGTGCGAGATGTGTTTTTTTTTTTGTGGTTGGTGTATATAACACTGTCTCTGGCTAAAAGCAGAGCTTTGAATGAAGTGTGCCCATGGAAGGGGAATTGGCCCTCTTTCAGCCCCCACTTCTGCCTGTCACTTCGTCTCACAACATATGGAGCTATTAAGCCACAGGCATGGGGGTAAACATATAGCCCAAGCACCCGCACCCACCCCCACCCAGCCCACCACCACCACACACACTCTTCTGACTGACCACAGCACATTGTGATGCAGCCAGGTAATTCAATCCCACCGTATGGCAGAAGTGAATGAAGAACGCAACTGAACAGATTTCAAATAGTGCAATGAGAGTCGTAGAGGGGGTCATTTTCTCTCTCTCTCTCTCTCTGTGCTTGTAGTGATATGTTATGTGAGCCATGGGCAGGTCAAGTGCCAGCCGAGAACACTAGGCCAAGGCTAATGGTTTGGGGGATGGGTGGGCAGCCAGTGTATCAAGTAGACGAGATCGGCTGCCAGCTTTCTCTATGTCAGTCTCTGAAAGTGAATCTAGTTTAGTGGATGCCAGTGGATGCCAGGGAGGCTCCAGTGACGCCACTGCCCAATCGGGTTGTTTCTCCAAGCCTGCTAAGGCCAAGGGCCAAGAGCTTATTATCAACCCATCTTGGGGCCCAATAGTGGGCTCCCTCAGATCTGATTGAGCATCCTCTGCTAGGCACTATGTAGGCAGTATTAGTCTCATCAAACCAAATAACTGAAAAATGTTGATTAATAGCTTTATATGATTTTTTTAAGAAAAAATCACAAAAAAACTAACAAAGACAAATTTACATTTCTGCCTCCTTGGAATGAATTGCTTGGTTGTATTCCTCCATTGTAAGTATCTGCTAAATGGATATGTAAATAATAATAACAATAATGCAAGAATATATTAATTGATGCACAGAAATGTTTTTGAAAAAAAAAAAAAATCAAGCAACTATGAATTTACGATGCAACTCACATTTATATACAAAACTGACCAACACTGAACCTAAGCTTTCCCCCCATGTAACAGGGCCAGCCAGAGTAGCCAAAAGTGACTGAAAACTACGCTGTTGGCTCACACATCATGTAATTCCCCTGTGATAGCATCACTTTATTAGAGAGGTACCTTATCAAAGCAAGCTTTGCAAAGACACCAAGCAGGAAAGGGCAAACTCTGTCAGCTCAGAACACAATACTCCTCTGTCTTCTTTACTTTATAAAATGATAGGCTGCTAAATAATGCTTAAAGTGCTTTCTCACATAAAGGCATTACTAGAGAGCTTCATAGTGTATTCTCTTTCAGCCAGGTATCATGCTGCAAATCGAGGCCAATTTGGACTGCCAAACTTGGAACGGGGCCTCTTTAAGTAGAAGGACCCAAGGGTCTTGCACAGGGCACCACTACCGCTGATGCAGGCCGGTGCTACATAAGAAGCGAGGGCTGCGAGGCTAATTAAAAGGTGGAGGAGAACGGGGAGGACTGGATGGCAGAGTGCTCCTTCTGCAACCTCTTCACTTCTACTCCACCTGATGCCAAGAGCCAAGCATGTGTAATATTCAAGAAGAGTGGGGCTCTCTTTGAAATCAACTGTTTTGTTAAAGTGTTCAGTGTCTGCCATGCTTACAGCTCTTCTTCCAAGCCAAGATTGAAAGCTCTTTTCTATTAAAAAAATACTTTAAGAGTTGTGGTTCAACACATGCTCAGAACCAATAAGAGTTGTTGGCCACGTCATGTTCCTCTGTCTCTTAATCATACTTTCTTCTATACACTCCAGGCTCCTATAAACTAAAAAGGCATATTAAAAAAGTAAAACAGTGACTGAAAATTATCTATAGCAATTGAAGAATTCACTTCCTTGAGTTCATGAGTGTAAATCTGGCCATACCCCATAGGAAGTTGATCTATCCATCCATCCATCACCTAAAAACCTTTACAATTGTATGAGTTTCATTGAATTTCAATTCATTTAAAAGTATATATGAAGAGTTCAGATGCAAAAGCCTCTAAATGCCATTTGAAATTTTCTTCTTTAATGATGATTTTTATCAAACTTGTATATTTAGGTTCAGTAATTTCACTTAAATGGCAATGATTATTACCTATTTATTGTTATTGAAGTGAAATTACTGAACTTAAATATACAAGTTTGATAAAAAATCATCATTAAAGAAGAAAATTTCAAATGGCATTTAGAGGCTTTTGCATCTGAACTCTTCATATATACTAATGTTATTACAAAATATATTAATGTTATTACAAATAATACTGCATCAATATTCAGAATATTCAGGAATTTAAAAATAATTCTCAATTCAGTTCTGAATGAGGGACAACCCTGATGTACCTGCTCAAAACTGGGATCATCAATTGCTAATGTTGTGTATCAATGTCTAAACGTTTGATGCACTTACTCTTCGACATGAATGTTTCTGTTCTGTACAATCACTGGCTGTCAGCGGTCCCACCAGCGGGGGCATCGAGGGCTCATTGCATCCCAAAGGCAGTGAACATCCACGATTAGCAATACGTATGTGTTCATGTCTGCACAGGGGGGATCATCACTATCCTCCGCAAGTCTATTTGAGTAAAGAATGACCTGAGTCATCTCTTTATACCAAGCCCAAGCCATTGAGCACAGTGTGGGAGAAAGGGGATCTCTGCTGTTTCACTGCAGGGTTAGGGCCATCAGCATCGGGCCTCTGCTGCTTGCACTGACCCGGCCGGGCCGCCCCACGCTGGGCATCCCAAACAGCAATGAGTCCTATCGCATTATCTGTGGCAATAAGTCGAGTCATGCGCACAAATGGCAATAAGCTACGTCCTAAACTTTCTCCCCTCTGCTGTTTAGCAAATTATGAATAATGCAAGTGCTTTACACACGCCAAGGATTCCATTACAGCTGCTGTTATTTGTACTAAAGCACTTTCCATGTCAAACATATTAAAAAATCAAACTGGGGAAAAGAAAGCCCTCGGGCTCTTTGTTCAACCTGTCATGCCTTTGTAGTTCCAAAATAGCTGACTTTATGTTCCATCATATACCTTTTTACTTAATTTATTAGCTGCTCTACCACACCCTGTAATAATCTAACACTCACCTGCTAACTTCTGAAGCTTTCCTCCCTCTTATCCATCTCTCTCTCTCTCTTTTCTTGTATATTCAACCTTTTGATGAGGTGCTGACAACAAACGTGGTTTCTAAAGGCAAACTTTGAAGACAAAAGGAAGGCTTTCTTTACAGACCTTCATCATTTTGTTTTTCTTTGAAAACTCTGATTGAAATTTTTGTCTCAGTTTACAGTATGTTCCTTTTCCCTTTCTGTGTTAGATCTAACAATCAGCAGCTACACTGAAAAAGCATTACTTGCCTATTTTTATTAGCAAAGAAAGGAGGGGGAAAATAGTAAAATAATAGAAAAAAGGAAATGTACCCAAATGCTACTGATCCCTTGGGAGGCAAGGATATGCTTTCAACTGTTTACAGAAACTTAGACTGGCACATCCCAAAACCCCAAAACAATGGCTGGATATGAGGTTTAGGGATACTGGCAGTGAGTCAGCCTACAGTACGTGTTGTAGCATTTTCTTACAAATTTGTTTTTGAAATTACAGTGCTTGCGTGAGGAGCAATTCTCTTTTTCACAAAAGGAGAAAAAAGGCATGCCAGGACAAGTACGACAGCTGCTTCACCAGAGGCCCTTCGCTTCTAAAATGGAAAATGTGCACTACTAGATGCCACCTTCCTGTTTTTTGTTTGTTTGTTTGTTTTTTTCTTAAGAAACAGAAATTATTAGGGATAGTGATAAAAAGCTAATTCATTATCATCTGTATGCCTTCATATCATAGCATCTACATATCAGTGCCAATGACATGTTCCTCACAAAGGTGACTAAACGTGCATAACATCAATACTATAAATGTACTGTATATAATAACATTTACAGGGTCATAGAGAGTATTATATTAAAAAAATAGCAGATTTATGGCCCATGAAGCTTAAACCCTTATATGCCGACAGTGTTTATATTCCAGCCCTCATTCCCACCATCTATTGTTCTGAAGCCTCAAAACGTCTTGAACACTGCCAAAACAGGCTGCTTCATTGAGGTGATACACTTCACAGTGTTCAGAATTAATTGCCTTGACAAGAAGGGCTTGATGTTCTGCTCTCTGAATCCAAAGGGGTGGGCCCTTTAAAACAATGTTATGATTCGGTCAGAGAAATCAAGCAATGATAAAATATGTGTTGAGGAAGACTGAAAGACATAAGGAGGTAAAGCAAGCTCAAAAGTGACTTGTAAGTTCCCCTGAGGTATAGTGAAGGATGGTGAAGCAGAAAAAATATACTAGAAATAAAAGACATCCTGAAAGGAACTTGTTAACATTATTGTATACCCTCAAGAACACAGTTGTGAAAGAGTAGTGTTTATCATCATTTTTTTTTTTTAAATCCTGAAAAAATATATTTGAAACTTTTAAATATGTAAAGAGGTTGTTCACCAAAAAATACAAAATCACAATTTACCGCCATTGCAAACCTGTATGACTTTTTTTTTCATTTAAATAAAAAGAAAATATTTTGAAAAAATGGGTCCAAATCATCATTGGACCCCAATGACTTTCACTGTATGGACAAAAAATATTTTTAAACATCTTTTGTTTTCCACCAGTCAGATAGGTTTGGTATGACATTTTCATTATTTGGGTGAACTCAATGTGTAACTTTATTATTTGTAGTACCATTAATTATTATTTTAAAATACATATATTTCATATGAATGTATTCATATTTTATTGACCAATTTGGTCCCACCTTATATTAAGTGGCTTTAAGTACTATGCACTTACATTGAACAATAAGTACAATGTAATATTGTGTTCCTGTTGTATTTTAAAACACTTTTGCTGCTATTGAGGTGTGATATGGGTAAGGTTAGGGACAGGTGTGGTGGTATGGGTTGGTTTAAGGGTAGGTTAAGGTGTGAGGGGAGGGTCAACTGTGTAATTACAAATGTAATTACATAAGTTAATTATAGCTGTAATTACATGTTGGAATTTTAAAATATAAGTACAATGTAAAAACAAGTATGTACACAATAAGTCCATTGTATCAAATTATTAATTTCAATGTAATTACATAGTACTTAAAGCCACTTAATATAAAGTGGGACCAAAAATTTCAATTTTGGGAATTTGAAATTGGTTGTGAGGATGACCCAAGCATTTTCAGAAAAACCTGCCAAGTGTGCAAGGAGCAACAGGAACAAAGATATGGAGTGGAAACTCAGAAAGCTTAAGTGTGTTCTCTTACCTGGCTTATAGGACATGCCTGGGGGGAAGAGGAAGCCCTGCTGGGCTGCAGCGGCCGCTGCCAGAGTGCGCTGGTCGTGTGGAAAAATGGGGATCATGAGTGGAGGCATGTGACCCTGGACCTGCTGAACACAGAGAGAGAGGAGATCACACAGGAGCCTAACACAGCCTGACAGCACCGCTCATTTTCTGACCCCTGTCCAACCCGCACATGCTCACCAAATACCTGCACTTAATCGCACCTTAATGCTTCAAAGAAACCATCATACGCACATATACAGCAGTGTTTATTTTCATACTTATCATAAACACCCGATTAGGTTAATACCTACATCCGTTGTTAGATAGAATTTGAAATGTTAGGTAGACACTGCTTATAAAACTTGAGACTGACAGAAAATGTGGATCCTTTCAGAAATACGGCTCTTGTTCTTGGAAGGTCATTTATTTACATGATAAATTCCCAAGGGAGGCCAGTAATTTACAGCACCTGTTTTCAGCTGTGAAAATGATGGAATGAGCCCAAAAGCTTGTGTATTCCTGATATTTCATGTATAACGTCAACACCTGGCATCGCGTGTGGTGCCTTTCAAACGCTCTCGACCATGTTCATCTTTATTCCTGCTTTATTGCAAAATAAAGAGAACGTTAATGGTGTCCATAAGGATAGCATTAGCTCTGTGTAAGAGTAAAAACAGACACGCTGACAACTAGAGACAACAAAAATGAGAGTCTCTGTGTATTTAGGGATCTGAGCGGCTTCCCATCGAAGTTTGAAAACACATGTTTGTGGAGTGTTGGCCGGACCCAATCTAGCTGTCATTCTCTGCTTCCGGCCTGCGTGTGATAGGCTGCAGCGCCGCTACTGTGGGCCAGCGCAGAGTTAATGCAGGCGAGTCGACCCGCCTCTGGGGAGCCCAACCGGAGAACGGGTTAATAAAGGTCAGCCCCCCCAAAATAAACACATTATAGAATGTTTCTCCATTCATCGCTCTTTAAAATCAGCCTGCAATAAAAACCGGTCTGGACGCAATTACTGCTGCAGCATTGGGGCATGAAATCAACCTGCTCTGAGGAACCAACATTTCAAGCTGAGGTCTGTGCGATCTCTGTTTTTTTTTAATGCTGCTTTCGCCTTATGAGCGTCTAATGTTAGAGTTCAGTAGGGCCTGTTCCCCAGGTGATAAACAAGTGTTCAGGTCCACTTCATTGATTTGGACTAAGTGAGTTCTCCTAAGCAAAAATAAATAGGAAAAATCCTGCACTTTTCTGTTTATAGAGTGTGGCACTTTAAAAAGTGCATATACAGAGTTGAGACTGTGCCAAAGTGAAAGAACTGCAGGTTTTTTTTTCTTCTTTTTGGTATTTTACAGATGTGACAAAAATGCTGAATGAAAGAAATCAGAGGGCTCTTTAACATGACCTTATAGATGTGTTTGTGAAAAGGTTTGCTTGCATGTGTGGTGAATTAAAATGTAAGTGGAGTGAAAGGAGCTATTAGGCAGAAAAGATAAATTGAGTCACCAACTACCGCCTTATACTATCTCAGATACATTTAAGTGCTTTGGAAAAGGCTCTGACCATGTAAATTGTTCTCCTTCAGAAGGCCGATAAGGTCAGTCACATACATAATTGCCATTAGCCTTATTCACATTACCCTTGCAAGACAAATCAGTTTAAAACCACAGTATTACATACAACAGCTGCTTTTAAAGTGGAACCAAAACACAACTGTTCCTCAACTTGTCATTTCACATAGTCCTGCACATATGGATAATGACAAAGACACCTGGCCTGCTACGCCTTATCCCATCTGTTCCTAAATTAAATCATCAATGTCTAATTTAATACAAATATAAATAATTTAAAAACAATCTAGAATTAGACATCATTTGATGACTAACAATGCTAACAATAAATATGCTAATCAAATTGAACTCCCTAATGCTGTTTCAAAAGGTGCGAACAGCAAGAAAAAGAAAAAGAGACAGTACAAACAGATAAATTGCCCTCAGTTTGAGAGGTTATGATTTACAGTAATGAGGCCTTTACATTAAACTTTAATTTACACACACGCCACATCTTTGAGTGGCAAATCAAATAAGCGTTGTTAAAGTGGGGACTAATAGTGAAGGTTAGCTTTCAAGCCTGTCAATTAACGTAGACCGGAGGAGCTGAGCAGACAATGCAGATAAAGATTTAAAGATGATCACTGGCAATTTGCTTTGACTGCTAATAGAGAATGGAACAGAGAATGGAATGGAAAGTGCTTACACTTAGACAGATGGATTTTGAAAAATTGCATTTCGCATTCTGCATTGAAGCTCGCTTATTATATGTGTCAGTCTCTCTCATTCAGTCACTGCATCTATCTGACTCTTTACGTCTGTTCCTCTCTCTCTCTCTTCACATAGACATGCATCATGCTTGCTTATAAGAAAAAATAAACCAAACCAACGGCAAATATCATGATAATAGTTTCTAAATACACAAACACACATATAGTGTGTGTGTGTATATATTTATATATGGAATAATTAATTAATAACTATGATAAATGAATACAACAAAATAGGCTTAATATTAGTTGAATGCTGTTTTAATTAATTTATTTTATATTTATTTTATTGTTTTTAAATTTAATTTATTTGTTAAATATTTAAAAAAATGTACATTTCTTATTTTATTAAGTTCTCTTATTTATTAATTACTGAAAAGTAGTACTTCAAAGAAAAATACTATAATTCTTAACTAATTATAATTATATTTCCATTTAAATGATCAAATTTATGAATTAAATATTAATTAAAATGAATGAATAAAACATAGATATAACATGATAGACAAAAATAATTACATTTATGATAATTTAATTTTTCGATAAGATATAAGAAAGATATATAAGAAAGCCTATAGACAGATATAAGAATACACCTGCTCTTACACAATATACACACAGCAAATACATGTCTACTCTGTAACCATAAACAACTACATTTCACATCACATTGTGCCCAATTCATCTCTTACAGATAAATAATAAAACAGCCTGGCTCATAAATATATCTACAGCATCATAAACGGAATAGTCTATAGTGTTCGATTCATTTCTACTGCCGCTCATTATATTCAGTATCCATGGTACGCATGAACATGCTCACCCGTATTTGTGTATCTGTGCCCTGATATTTCACCCCTCCCTCCGTCAGTGTGCCAGGCGGCTGGCTGCAAGCAGCATTAGTATTGCCAGTCAGATCTTCAAGAGCGTGAAAGAATGAAGTGGAGCAGATGTGAGGAGGAAAGCTCGGGCCTGAGGAAGCTCCGAACCTCATAAACTCAGCCCATTGTAGGTCTGGCTCCTATCTGCCCTTTGTCTTATCGGATCCTTAGAACCAGAGGATGGGATAATGCCATTTCTCGCCATCTGTCCTAAAGTTCATTAAAGATACATGAACGAGCCCCATCTTATGAGGAACAGGTGCTATTGTTTGTCCCCGAAGACCTGCTGTGGCGAGGATGTAACTCGCGGTACTTGAGGAAGAGCATCTGTAGCAATCAGTCAGGCTGTGTAGCTGGCAGCCTCTTTCTCTCTTCACACGGCCGACCAGTTCATAGGGGTGTAGATGCAGACAGAGAGACAGAGAGAGAGAGAGAGAGAGAGAGGCCTCTTCACCTTCAGCGTCTCACATATATCATCAGTTCAGTGCAGCTGATGAAGTCTGGGGTGATACACAGCACAATCTGTCTCACTGTCACAGATACACGCATCACTCACAGGCTCTGTCTTCGCTACTCTCTCCTGCCCTTAGATCAGGCGCATATATTGAAACTGTAGCTTGTCGGCCTACCAAGCTAATTTAAAACAATTAAATTACAATGTAATTAAAAACTATATTCAAGTAAAGATGATTCACTTACCTAATGATGATTAATATAATCTGTAATATAATATAATATAATATAATAAATAGCTGTCCCCATCTATTTATTATATTATATTATATTTTTTATTTACTATTTATATTATATGATATTATGAGAACCTATACTAATCACAATAAAATAATCACAAAAATAAAATCACCATAATTTACACAAATAAACATGACAAAAAAGTACTGATGAACAGCAACATTTAACCAAAATTCTGTCTAAATATTATTTATAAATGAAGAGTTCAGATGCAAAAGCCTCTAAGTGCCATTTGAAATTTTCTTCTAGAATGATCATTTTTATCAAGCTTGTATATGATAATTACCTATTAATTGTCATTTAAGTGAAATTACTGAACTTAAATATACAAGTTTGATAAAAAAATCATCATTAAAGAAGAAAATTTCAAATGGCACTTAGAGGCTTTTGCATCTGAACTCTTCAAATACTTTATTATTTTTTTTAAACTATTGTAATAAACATTTTATTTTCCATATATTGCAAAAGGAAAAAAACCCAGAATCAAACCGATTTTGTTTAAATTGTTCAACTGATACAATTTATTACAGTAAGTAGACATTTTTGCCAAGCATGATTATTACCTGAATAAAAAAAAAGTGACAGTGCTTTGTTACCACACACTGTTACACATTGGGGGGGGGATATCAGGGCTACAATCAGGCTACTGATCACTAATTCCCGACACTGAAAGCAGAGTGTCAGCGGTGGGTTGTTTAATCACACAATGTGCGGTTGCTGTAGGTTGAATGACCAAAAAAAAAATAAACGAGAAGGGGGTGGAGACCCGTGAAGTAAATAGGGAGCTATAGATTAATCAATGTTGTTAGTGGAAATGTTGACATCAGCACTTAGCTTCAATAATGGTTTACAGCAGCAACTAATCCTAGGGTCAGACAGCCCAGCCTATTCAAGGAGCTGCACTGTACTTGGATTACTGTTAGAATACATGTAGGCTGCTGTGCATCTAATTCAGCAGGTGCACTAATATGTTTATGCCCTCCTGCAGTGGCCCATGTTGCTGTAAATGTGTATTTGCTGGCATATCCTGACCTAGGCTGTCACACAAACGCATAGAAAATGGAGATGTACAAGTCATTACTGTCCTCAATAGGGCCCCTGTCAGCACCCATGCTCCTTGCTGTCTTTTAAAGGGTCCCTTTGGGCTCAGGAG